TCCTTTGCGGTTGCAGTTCATTTGTGTTCACAGCCCTGCGGCAGCTGTAGCCCAGGCTGGCGAGCGTGGTGCCTTGAGGCAAAGTAAAGGAGCCTGCAGTCACACTAAGTTTACAGGGGCCACGCTGGCCTCCCAGCTTTTAGCTATTGACGTTTTCCTCTTTAGCTGAGCATAGTGGTGCATACCTTGAGTCCCAGCGTTCCAGAGGCAGAGGCAGGTGGATCTCGGAGTTCAAGGCCAGTCTGGTCTGAGTTCCAGGACAGCCAGGACTATATGTAAAGAAGCCCTGTCTCAAAAAAACGAAACAAAACAAAGTTTTTCTTTTTAATATATTGGGGTGTTTTTTTAGAAAACCTACATAATTGTTTTAAATTTTATTTTAGAGAAATGGCTACCACTTTTGCTCGACTGTGTCAACAAGTTGATGTTACTCAAAAACATCTGGAAGAAGAAATTGCTAGATTATCCAAAGAAATAGATCAACTGGAGAAAATACAAAACAACTCAAAGCTGTTAAGGTAAGCTTTTCCCTCTCAGTAACATGAATATCTAATTTCATCTCACATCTAAGATTATTATGTGAAGTCACTAATGACTTTGCGTTAGAACTTTTAAATTAACTATCTTCATTGCTTTAAATTCAGAGTTTCCATGTTTGGAGCTGGAGAGATGGCTCAGCAAGAGTATTTGCTATTTTGCAGAGACCCCTACTTGGGTTTGGTTCCCAGCACCTACATGGACTTCATTAAGCTAAAAAGTCTGTACAGCAATGGCCACCCAGCAGCCACCTGTAACTCTAGTTCCAAGAGCTCCGATGCCTTCTTCTGGCTTCTCTCAGCACCAGGCGTGCAAGTGGTGCATATCCATACATGTAGGCACAACAGTCATAAAATAAAAATAAATCATTTTGAGAAGACAAGGACTGTCCATATTTAATTCCTTATGCTTTGGAATTTCAGTGAAAGCCCATTGCAGCCGGAGAGTCCATCTGAGTTAAAAGCAATTTTGTAGGACTTTTACTCTCTCTTAGGCTGGGATAATTCTTTTCTAGAGCAGAAGTTCAGTAATCTAAAATGACAGTTGAGCATTGTGTCACACACCTTGTGTGCCCAGTACTTAGGAGACAGGAGCAGGTTCAAAGTAGTCCTCAGGTACATAGTCCTCAGTTCAAGGTCAGCCTGGGCCACATGAGACCTTTCTCAAAAAAACCCAACAAACAACAACAAACCCAAACCAAATGAACAAAAATCCCCATAACAGAGGCCCTGTTCTTTCTGAGGAAGGAGGACACTTGCGTTTGAAGCAGTGAACTACAGGTGTCCTGATAAATTGGGCTTGCGCTTCGTTATGATTTATTATGGATCCTTTGGGATAGGAGTGGAAGTGTCACCATCAGGTCTGACTTGGCAGTTGTTTCCACTTCCTTAACCACGAGCTGCTTGCCAGCTTGTCTTGGAGTAGTGTTAAGCACTGAACAACACTGCTGAGTCAGGGCTTGCCTGCATGTAGCGCTACATCAGAGAGCAGCTTTGTGGCCAGGGTTTGCAGACTGGAGGGCTGTCCTCGTGGCCTGAGTTCTGAGGGCATGTGTAATTAGACAGATGAAGATGTGGTGTCAGCACAGTGCTCTTGGTCGTGGAAGAGCCTTTGCAAAGGCGCAGAGCAGCACAGTACTCAGCTGTTGGTTTTCATGGAGTCCACTGTTAAAATTACCTGTAGCTTCACATGCCAAGCCAGTTTCCAGCTTGGAAACAGTAGGCTGCAGCAGAGCCCAGGTGTAGACCAGGCTGTAAGCCCTACATGTGTCTAAGTACACTCTATAATGTCCACAGTGCGATCAAGGGGTGATGTCTGATGCTCCTTCTGGCCTAGGAAGACATGGCTGGGCGGAATCACAATTACCAACTCAGGCTCAGCCTGAAGAACTATATTCACCTGCACTTGTATGTGCACTTCACTTGCGTGACCTCAGTCACATGAGACAACAAAACAACTCCCTTCTCTCCAAATAGAGTCCCTTCTTTGTGAGTACATGCCCTAGCATGAACTGAGAACATGCTGCGTAGACTGTGGCTGGTAATTCAGTTAGGGCTTCCACTCATAGGCAATTGATTATATCAAGTATGATTCTAATGTGCTCCTTGCCAGCTTCTTTGCATATACAGTGTAAGTCATTCAGTACTTTACACTTTACAGTTATGACCCTGACTTAAGATGTCACTCCTGTTTAAGCTGTTAGGCTGTTTCGATATTGAAGTCCATGACTTCTGTCTTCGAATCGCTCTAGACCCTGAGGTTGTATTCACTGTGAGCAAAGCAGGAGCACACACGGTAACAGTCTTGTATGAGTTTCAGTTAAGGATGGCCACAGCTGCCTAGAGGGCTGTTTGTAAGTTTGGATAGAATGTACTCTTCTCATTGACTGTTAAGATAATTAGGTTGGTGTTTTATTCGTTGTCTTTTAACTAGAAATAAAGCCGTTCAACTTGAAAGTGAGCTGGAGAATTTTACAAAGCAGTTTCTACACTCAAGCAATGAAGAATCTTAACCACAGAAGCTGCTGTGATGATCGCATTGTAGGAGGAAGCGGATTGGACGATGGGGAGAGCTATTTTTATGAAATGACCTCAGTATGAATTACTAACTCTGAGTATCGATGCCTTGCAGAGATTGGTAATGACCTGTCTCCAGGGTTGCACTTTTTGAAGTGTTGCAATGCGTCATTAGCTTTAGTTTAGAGTGAAGACTGAACTGTGGGTTAAATGATGGATTCCTTGAAAACGGGGGAACCAACTGTGAGCCCCTGAGGGTGGGTCCTGCAGCTCTCAACCAGGGCTTTCTGTCTGTGATTCTGGGTAACTGCTTCCTGGCATCCAGGAGTTAGCGATCTTTTCATCCTCCTTCACTAGTTCTCGATGCCTTCTTTAATGGGAATATTGAATTTGTTTATAAGCTGATTTGTTCAAACCAGGGAGTGTGGGCTACTACTCCTGGGTGTCCTACCGTCACTTGGCCCTCACAGCAAGGATGTAACCACTACTAAACACAGTTTTTACCTTTTCCTTTATTCCCATTAAACTGATGTGAAATAGTGGAAAGGCCTGTCATTATAGTCACGCATGAAGTATCTGAGTCTGGTTTCCTGCTCTGTCTCTTTACAAACATTGTCAGCCTTGAGTCTCGCAAGGAGAGCTTTCCTGCCTAAACATGAGGTGGGAGGTCTGGAAGGGATGGCCAGAGTGGGACACAGGAGTAGATATGGCGTATGGTGACATGACCATGGAGACATGACTGTGACAAATGGATCCTTAGGAGGAATCTCACTGGCTTGTCCCCACTGGAAGCTTTGACTTTAATTACATGAATTTCCTTGGGTCCCATTAAAAATGATCACTCTGTGTTATTGAAATGTTTATGGTTCAGGTATTATGTGTGCCTCTACATTAAAGGCTGATTGACATCGTGTATGGAAATACTTTTAAATGGCAAGGCAGGATTGCTTCTCTGACCTGACTATGAAAAGTAAAGTGCTAACCTATGAGTATTTCATGGATATCAGTTTTGCCATCCAGGGGACACTGAACTCTCACCGGTGTGTCCTCGAACTCACAGAGATCCACCTGCCTCTACCTCCTGAGTGATGGGATTAAAGGCGTGCGCCACCACACCCAGCCCTAGGTACACTTCTTATTTTTAAGGTATTTGAAGAATGTTATAATATCATATACCATTATTTAGACCATAGAAATGTTTCAGAATTACTTACATTTTAGGAAAATTGGGTTTTGGTCTGCAGTATTCAAATTTAAATGAACATGACTACCTTTTGCTTTTATTGCTAATTTTTCACCCCCCAAATGGTACAGGCAACCAGGTGGGGTTAGGTGAAAATTACATGAAAAAACACTCTCTGAAATGGAGGTCTGCCAACCTAAGTTACAAAGTTACAGAGCACTTTAACTTCTGGCCACATCTTTAGCATGCTACAATGTGGCTCTCTGGGTTTGATCAAGTCAGGGCTGTTGAGAACAGTGTGCTTCCGACCAGAGAAGAGTACACCTGTGGCTGGGCTCACGAATGCACAGACTGTAATCCTGTTATTGTTCAGTTACTACACACATACTTGATGATTTACTGTGTATGTTTACAGTATTATTTATAAACTTTGTATGACCTTTAACTTTTTACAAAGCATTTTTATAAGTATACAAGCTTGCAAGATGAAAATAAATCTATTTGCCTGTTAGTTGAGAAACGCAGCATTTATCTCAGTTAGTGACTCCCGGTCATTTTCCATGGTAGTCATATAAGTTCTCTTACATTGGAGGGAGGCCCTAATTACTTCTCGACTATCACTTAGTCCTTTGGCCAGTCACAGGGTGAGATCCCTGGTGTACCACTGCCAGTGGCAGTTTGAGAGGTTTTCCGTGGTAGGCACGCAGCTTGTAAGTACCCAGCCAACAGGACTCCTTGAACAGATAGAACGAATACAAACCTTTTTTGTTGTTTGGTTTGAGACAGGGTTTCTCTGTAGCCTTGGCTGTTTTGGAACTTGCTTTGTAGACCAGGCTGGCCTCGAACTTAGAGGTCAATACAAACACTGAATAGATATTTCAATTTTAAGAAATGGAACTAAATTATCCCAAGGGAGCTACGGGGGAAGCATGGCTGTTGTCTCTATGGAGACAGGGTCTCAACCTTGGCATCTTCCTGCATCTAGCTCCCAGTCACTAGAACTGCAGACCTCTTGTGCCCCACCAAGGAGAGAGAGGAACAACCTACTTGTGGATGAGAAATCTGTGGCTTTAATAAAATGAAAGCCAACTCTGGGTCACTGACACTCCCGTCTCTCCCTTCCTTCGTTTTATAAAAAAAATAAAGACAGCATTTAAACAAAGGGAGTAGAGCTAACCAAGGAAGTACTGGACTTGAGTTTTTAGTTCTGGGGCTTAACTTAAAAAATTTTACTAAAATCTGACTTAAAACACGGTACAATGAAAGATGATGAAAAGCACTTTATTGATTACAGATCACAGGACCAGCTCACTACAACATTTCACAAGCAACTGTACAAATAAAGGAGTGAGTCACTGTTACATCTCAGAATACTGCTGAATCCTGGCCCCAGTCCTCTGCTTGCATGGTCAAGCTTTAGACATATGCCTGACATCATAGTCAGTTGGCTTCGTTGTGGAAATACTTGAGGACATTTCCAAGGTGCCTTATAGGCAAGTACTCAAACCAGCTTCAGGACACACTTGAAGTGTGGGCCATCTCATGGCTTCAGTGAGACGATGCAGATGTTCAAAGAGAAGCCTCTTGGGTGAGAAATGGTAGGCTAGAGCACCACTGTATAAAGACAGAAAGGCTTGCACAACCTCCTGCTGTGCCACCGAAGTCCTAGTTAACAGACCATGTGCTGGAAGATTCTGTTGGGTACATTTCATACTAGCTGTGATGCTACATTATTATACCTGTTTTACAAAGCCAGCCATTGGGTTTAAGGAAAAAAAACCTCTTAGAAAATTCTCAAGATGGAAAATATTTCCTAAATACAAGATGCTCCATCAGTCTGTGGCTGACAGTGCTGACTTAAACCTCCTGTGAGCACCATTGTAACCAATGAAAAGCAGGAGCTGAGCTCCTGTGTGCTTCACGTTCTGCAGGATCCGATTGAAGATCATCTTTGTCAAATGACAGACTCACCTGTGGGTGGCTCTTACATTTCTAACGGAAGCTTAGACATCATTTTAAATCATTCTTAAGTATTTGTGCAAGTCTGATGTGATCTGCAGATTCTAAAAGAATGTTCCTTATTGAAACGATGGCAGGTCCATCTGGGGGATTGCTTATTCAGTTTTCTAGGCTAGTCAATGGTTTAAAATACAGGACATTCACATCCACTTAATTTCCCTGAATAGTTGCATTTCTAAAACAAAGTCTTAGTTTTACTACTAAATCTAAGTCATCTACAGGATTGGCGAGTACTTTCAACAACAGAATGATCATTTTTATGGTTGTTTTTAAGATAGGATTTCTTTTCCTTTAAAAAAGGATTTAAATTATGTGTGTGCAGGTGTCTGAGGAAGCCAGAGGAGGGCTTTGGACCCCTTGAAGTTATAGGAAGGTGTTAGCCACCTCCACTGGGAACTGTTCTCAGGCCCCCTGTGAGAATAGCAAGCAGGTTTAACCACTGCTCTCTCTCTCCAGCCCCTGGGACAAGGTTTCCATCTGATAGCCCCAGTGACTGGCCTCAACTCTCAGTGATCCCTCTGTCCCAGCCTCCCAAGTAAAGGGTTACAGGCATACACTAGTTCACTTCTTTTTTAACAGATTAAAATTCCTTAACAGAAGCACATCAGTCAGCTTGCTAAGTCTAAATTAAAATGACAGCTACTGACGAGACCCGCTCTTCAAGAACCAGACCCCACCACTTGGCATTTATGAACTTGGAATTCAGTACAGTACATGTGTACCACTTCTAAGTGCAAGCTAGTGAGGGACCTGGAACGTTACACAGAGTACAGCAGCCAAAAGGAAGCTTGCTCATCTCCAGGTGGAGACGGCCCTGCCGGACAGCACACGGCGCTACACTGTTTTAGAAAGGCAAGTGTGCCTTTAAAATACTCTTGGGGAAAGCGGCACAGGGGCAAATGCCTGCGGACCCAGTTAGAGGCCAAGGCAGGAGCCACGGCAAAATGTTAAGAATCTTGTCCATCTCAAGACGACTTCTGTTTGATGTTATGCATGCTATGCGTCAACCCGCTAAGGCACATATATAGGTTAATTTCAGGAAGTCTCAGGCAACCCAATGTATTTAGCCGCAACAGAAACTGCAAAGAAACCCTAAAGGCACCAACCAGTAGAAAGCAGCTTGAGGAAGGTCATTGCTGTGTCAAATGTCAGTGCTGTGTGCAGTCAGCCACATTGTTCATCATGGTTCCATAACATGAAAGTACATTCCTTTTTAAACAGATTTGTGTGTATGAATGTTTTGCCTGCATGCTTTAATGTGCCTGCTGCCCAAGGAAGTCAGATCCCCTGGGACTGGAGTTACAGGTAGTTGTGAGCTGCCATGTGGTTGCTGGGAATTGAACCCAGGTTCTCTGTAAGAATAACAAGTGCTCTTAACTGCTGAGCCAACTCTTCAGCCCTAAATTCCATTTTAAAACATTTAGGGCCATAGAATACCTTTAGTATGACTTTTGACCGACACACACAGCTGAGGACTGAACCCCGGGCCTTGTGCTTCAAGTACTTAGCCCAGGTTAATCACTAGCCCCATTTTTAAATACCTATTAGAAGTGCTGTTCTGAATGAACACTGGGATGAATTCTGAGCTACACAGCAGACTTAGAGACACGCCCTTTTGGGGGAGTGATTTGATCAGTGCTTCAGCTCTGGCTTGGGTGGGGCAGGCTGCAGATGTAGCCCGGTGGTAGAGTGCTTTCCAGGCAACAGGTACAAGCAAGGCTAGATTCTAGCCCACTGTCAGGCTTTTCTTTTTTTAAGTAAATTGTGCCCTATTTCAGAGAGCTACGCTTTACGAAGTGACCTCCCTAGTTCACAGATAGAGCAAAGGTGTCCCAGAAACTAAAGATTGAGGTACACATTCACACCTGCCATTGGTGGTCTGTTTCTCTTCAATACTGTATCTCAGTTCACCGCTACCCTGTAGGGAGCAAAGGAAGCCCTGAGTGCATGTGCTGTTGACGGGTACTGCTGTGTCAAGGACCTTTGCTCCAGACCCGTGGGAGAACAGCAAAGCCCTCCTGGCTTGAGTATGAATGCTGATGGACTATGTAGAAAAGTCCACCATAGCACCCTCCCTACCCCCAATGTTTACAGCCCGAAGACTGTTTCCCTGCAGAGGCTGCTCTTACAGAGAGGAGCCATCCTTGTCTCCTTGTCCAGCTGCACACCGTAAACGCTGCCTCCTTGTTCATCTGTGTACAGCAGCACCAACTCTGCTACTCCATGTCACAAATTCCTTCCTGGGAGCTGCAGTTTCTCCACAGGAGAGCCCAGTCTACATGACCCCAGCTTTCCGTGTCTGTGTGTCTGCCCCACTCAGGTCCAACCCTGGAGCTGTGTGCCGGGAGGAGGCTCTGTCCACTGTAGTCTCTTAAGAGCAACTGACCTTAATAACAGGGATGCCGATTTTACCACAGCGGACACTTACATAGGACCATTCACAGTATAAGGATGAAAAGTCACAGAAACAGTTTGCGACTATTAAGGTTATAGTTACAGGTGCTCAACTTTAACAGTAAAATTGCTAAACAGCAACTTACATGTTACTGAGTTACAAAACAATGTGTGTGTATACATCCAAGTAACCCATGAAGGCAGCACCCAGCAAGACTTAACTCTCGTCAGTCATTTAAATTTGCAGGAGGAAACACGAGGAGCGGCATCGGTTCGGTCTGGAGGCAGGACAGCCCAGTGACAGACACTCTACTGAGCAATTGGACCCCTCTGAAACAATGCTTTAGGCTCGAGGGTTCAGCTCCAGACAGCCTGCAGTAAGCTACTTGGAAACAAGTGTGTCATGCTATGGAGAACAGCACTACACGGCAGCAGAACGCGTCCATCAGAGGAGCTGGGGATGCAGAGCAGTTGCCTGGCGGGCACCAGGCCCCGGATCCCTTCTGCAGCACCACCAATGGGACAGCAGAAGTTTAAGGGTACAGATCACTTATTCCAACAGATTTGACATGACACTGAATTCATGAAGCCATCTTACTACATGTAAGTTAGTGCCAGTGGCGTGGATGAGTTTACGTTTCTCAAGAATGTAAAAGGTGAGACAGTTTCCTGCCTATTACAGAGAATACTGGGCAAAAGTCTTCAGATACAGGGACAAGTCAGGTTTTGTCAAACCGGAAATACTAGTATATTCTATACACTTGGTTTCTGAAAGTGAAATTAACAGCAAGATCCAAAGGTCCAAAGGGCTCAGCCTTTTAGAATACCAAAAATTACATGCCAGTGTCTACTGGTTATTAATATAATAATAAATTGTAATGACACTTCAATATGTTCCTGTGTCAAAGTGAAATTTTTACCCCCTGGCCCTCACATCACCTGCCACCTCAAAGACTCAAAGGAGCACTTACGTAGATTCCTAGCTGGCAAAGAATGCGTCAAACCAGCCACTGGCTCCCTCAGAGCCACCTCACCTCTCAGCCCTCCTAATCAGGAAGCCTTCAGGGACTCTAAAGTTAAAATGCAATGTCAGAACCCAAGGGGACTCCTTCAGACAGCACATATATCTACACTATCACTTCTGCCTATCCTGAGTCCTGGCTCTTCCGTGATAACACTTTAAAAATGTGACATTTTTATATATACAGAGTTCAAGGGGAGTCCCTGACAAAATGCAAACACAATGGTCATCTGCTAACGAGTGTCTGTTCTAATCTACAGAAAACCAGCACAAGCGAGTCTGTCGGGGTTAAAGTCAACACAACTGCCCAGCTAATACCCCGGCCCTTCGACCTCAGCAAGGGACCTTCATCTTGATTGTTTCTTTTACACCATTTGGTTGTAGTTCACTGAAAGCTTCTTTTTGTATGCATTCATTTCAATAGAAACATCTTCATCCGCAAATAGAAGGTAGAGTTTTTCTCATAGCTATAGGCTGTAGCATGGATTTCTCCAAATAACCATTGGAGAACAGAAACTATGACACAGTTAATTCCAGATTCTAAGAAAACTGTCCCAGGAGCCGGTGGCCACAGCCATGCCATCATCAGTGACACCTAAGCAGCTAACACGGTTGTCATGACCAGCAAGGACACCTACAAAGAAAGGTCAATACAAGGTTAAAACTGGAGTTTTAGAACTACAAAAGTTGTGCATTACAGCACAGTGATTTAAAAAATGAGAGGCACCCTGGGGAGACTGCTGTCAGGGCAAGTCAGGCATAGGACACAGCACACCATGGGTTAACTCACTGTTTTAACACAAAAATACATCAATTTTTGTTCTCAATTTTTGAAAAGTCATAATCTTTTTTACAAAAAGAAAAACAGACAGGTTTCATGTAGTCCAGGCTGATCTTGAACTTGGTACCCAGCCAAAGATAACCTTAAGATCCTAATCCTCCTGGATCTACCTTCCAAGTGCTGGGGTAACAAACATGTGCCATTGAACCTGGGTGCTTGGTAATTTTCCTTTCTAGGAAAATAAATGTAAAGGCAAATTCCACATCTCCAGTTAAGTTCGTGCTAGTCCAGTTTTGCTACTGAACTTTCAATAAGAACACATTTTAAATGGAAGTTCAATGCAGTATACTTTTCCACAAGGACAAGACAGCTGTCTTCCATCCTATTTCCAAAACAGACCCAAATCATTCATTTAGTTTTCTGTTCAGCACCACACACAAACTGGTTAGAACTAAATGAAGCCACTGAGCTCATTCAGTTCCGTTTGCTTTGCAGTGATCTGAGACTCACCCATCCCTTTTACTGCACAGGGCAAACGGAACAACTCTCAAGCTTTAAGTGAAACATGCAAATATTCAAATGAAAAGGAGAATATCCTCTCTATCTCGTGGCAAAGGATGTGTGGACAGTCACTGGCCCCGTCCATCAGAGACGCTTCACCTCTCAGCCCTCCTAATCATGAAGCCGTCAGGGACGCTGAGGTTAAAATGCAATGTCAGAACCTAACATCTCTCTTTAAACATAGTTTCACTCTCAGAAGTTTATCCGGTTAAATATTCCCTGTAGTATCTCCAGTCTGGCAGTGAATGGCAACTCTACCATCATGGGGTTGAAATAACGTAACAGAAAGCCTGGAAAGGGCAGTGCACAGAGTGGCTCCCAAGTCTGGATCTGGCTGTGAAGTGAGACCCTGTGCTGAACCAGCTGGAGGGCAGCTATCAGCAAAGCAACCCCGAAACTCGAGCATATGTTAGAAATGAGCTAGGATACGAGCAGATTAACAGCCAAATACAAAATACCTTACGGAGTTGCTGGCATTGGGCAGCAGATCCTTTTCAAAACTCGACTTGCTGGGTATAAAACTCTGAACTGCAGTTTGTTAACTGGTTGCAGAAAATTACTCCTGGAAGAGCTGAGACCCTGTGTGTGCAGACCTCAACAACCCTGAGGGTTTCCAAAGGTGGGGAGTGAGCAAAAGAGGCACAAGACAGCAACAGAGCTGTAAGCTACAAGATCTCTGGATGGGGGTGGGGGGTGGGGGGGTTGTCAAAACAGAACTGCATTAGCAAGGGGCCAGTAGGGGTGACACCCCCCCCATCTGCTGTCTGAGACCTGCCACATGACCGACCATCTTGTGTCACATAATAATCTTGTGCCAGTTTAAGACTAGAGATTCAGTCACTAGGGCCACTAACATATCTCCTGACTGGAAGAAAGGAACAGTTGAGATTGGTAAAAATGGAGATCAGAGTTGACTTGCTAAATTGTGATCCCAGCTTCCCTCTGGAATCAGCCTCGGATAGTGGTGGGGAGCACAGGGAAGAAGTATGTGTGTAAAAAAAAGAAAATGTAATAATGCAGGCATGCTATTTAAAGTTGGGTTTGGAGATGGGGGTTCTTGATGTATAGCCCAGACTGGCCTCAAACTTGTGATCTTCCTGTCTCTGTCTCAGGTCAGGCATACAACACTGCACCCTACCAGTTTTTCTTGGGGTGCAGAAGAATGTTTGCGGTGTTACAGTAGTAACAAACCACACACACAGCCACTGGATTCCTGGAATATAATTTTAAATTATTTTAGTTAACATTAAAAATCCCTCCATTATATCCCACTTCCAGTATGGCTGCTTTGTTGTCTTTTAATGGGACCTGCAGTGGAGGGCTCCTGTTGAGGCCTGGAAGACAGTCTGCCTGTCCTCGGGATCAGTCCCAAGAGCATGAGTCACAGCAGAAACCACGCTTCCTGTCAGATTAGAGAGAGTGATGGCTTAGCCCCAAGTGACAGCTTAGCCCCAAGTGACATGATGGTGGCATTCACTAGCAATCCCAGCATTTGGAAGGCTGAGGCAGGGGGATGTGGAGCTCAAGGCCAGCCTGGGTTTCATACTGAGTTCCAAGCATAAAAACATGTCTCAGAATAGTAAGTAAGCAAACCAAGACGTAAGAAGAAGAAAAAACTGGTTTGTGAAAGATGGCACCAATTTGTGTTCACTGCCCTTGACCCTAATTTACCATATTTCAGGACCCAATGTCATTCTTCAACAGGGTACATGTTCCAACTACCCTCCAAGGTAATGAAGAACATGAAGGAGAGCACCCAGCTGCTGTTCTGAAAGCTCCAGGACGCCCAGCAGGCCCCAGCGTAAGACAGACCCGGCCTTGGCCACACCACTAACCTGCCCGGCCTCCTTTCAGCGCATCCCACACACTGCAGTTGAAGTCATCATAGCCGGCTAGCAGAAGGCGCCCACTCTTTGAGAAGGCCACAGAAGTGATGCCGCAGATGATATTGTCATGAGAATACAGCAGTAGCTCCTGGTCTGCACGGAGGTCAAAGAGCCGGCAAGTGGCATCATCAGAGCCAGTGGCAAAGGCATATCCACTTGGGAAGAACTAGAAAGGAAAACATACATAAAAACAACGAAGGCAGAGAAGCTGGGATGGGAGGTGAGGCAGGCTTAAAGTCTAATTTTGCTTCTTTCCATGTCAGTGACTGATGAAAAGTTTGTTCCTTTTTATGTGAGCCAGGGTTTCACCATGTAGCCCAGGCTGGCCCAGAACTCACAACACTCCTGCTTCAGCCTCCTAAGTGCTAGGGTTACAAAGGTGTGAGCCACCACATCTGGCCTAGTCCATATATATTTTTTAATATTCTAGGCTTTAGTTTTAGCTGAAGAGTTGGGACTGAATAGCATATACAGAGTGCACTGCCCACTGTTCAGCACACAGTGTTAATATCACTGCTGTGGTCCTTCACTGTCGGATCAAAACATTTCCGTCCAGTGTCACTCAGGAGCCAGGAGCTGCACTGCACCATGACAGCAGACAAGGATTGCATGTCCACACTGTTCCGTTGGAAGCTCCTCCTCGGCACCCCTCCTCCCTCTCCAAACCCTGCCCCTTTAAGAAAGCCCACCAAACGGAACCACGCCTACAGGGTATTTAAGCTCCAAGCCATAGACCTGCCATGTGATCTCCCTGCCCTCCGCCCCAGATCACCAGGGACTGCTTTGCTCACTTTAAACCTGGTCCACCAAGAGACAACAGGTCTCCAAAATACTTTAGATTAGGATAGATTTCTCTGTGATAATTCCTGTCCTGTCCTGAAAACAAGGTTTATGAAAGATAGAATTTAAAACAATGCTGGTTTCCTGAGGTATCAAAGCTGCACCTCCAGTGCATTCGTGTACAGGACATATCTCACTGGCAGCCAGGTTTGTAATGTAAGAGTAATCAACCCCCTTGGTATTGACTTTAGAAACACTAAATTGTGTTTTGCCTTCTAGAGATACTAAACTGCTTCTACCTAACAGACATGACTCCCTGATGCTCAAACGCTTCAGAGATCTGAGAATATGGCATGTAATAAAAAAAAGCTTCTCATGATAGAGACATGCCAGTTCCTGGCAGCACCCTGTACCTCCTTAAAGGAACATGGATGGCTGCAGAAGAACTTCCACCTGGAACTTGCTTTAAATGCAGCAAAGCCAGCCATGGAGTGGAAAACTGCTTTGCCACTAAGACCCTGTCCAGACTGTGGACAAGCAGGACACTGGGGAATTGATTGGCCCACTTTAACAAGATAGGCTGGTCTCCCCAAATTCCTACTCCACAGGAAAGTCAATCAGATCTTCTGGTCTTGGAAGCTGAAGTCCGATACTGCTTTAGGACCTCTGTCCCAACAACCACAGAGAAACCTGGGGTAGCTGCCTCACTTCTGCTTACTCAGGTGGAATGTATCCTTCTCAGATCTGATGGTGTTTGATGACTACGGTACTGATAGATTTAGATTTACCATTTTAACAGCTCTCCCCCGACCTCAAGGCTACAACTACCATGGTATCTCATTAGTTCATTAGTTAAGTTTCCTGTTAAAATATAGGCAGGTTTGCCTTGTTCACAGGCTTCACAATAATGGATAAACAGGCTTCAGATAGAACATCACCTTAAGTGGGAAGTTACAAGTATAGAAAGGTGATGTTCTAAGTATAGACTTAAAGGTATGCTCCATATGGCTAAAACCAGGCCTTAGGAAAAAAACGTTTTAACCCAGACATAGCCTTTGCTATGACACCAAGGTGTAGATCTGTTCCAGCTGTTTTACAGACACCTGCAGGTTCCTGGGGAAAGAGTTCTGCTACTGTATCAAGAAATCTGGCCTGGTGGAAACTAATATCAGTCTCTAGAGACCCTCTTCGACCCCACCCATCTTCGAACCTGTATTTTACAGGTCCACTCTTCCTGCCAGACGTGTGCCAAAGCCAACCTGTAAGGGGTCCTCCAGATATGCCAGCTCCTGCAACCAGCTCTGAGGACACCAACCAGGCGAGGTTGACTTCACTCACATGCCCACTCATAAAAAGCTCCATCATCAGCTGGGCGGTGGTGGCGCACGCCTTTAATCCCAGCACTTGGGAGGCAGAGCCAGGCGGATCTCTGCGAGTTCGAGGCCAGCCTGGGCTACCAAGTGAGTCCCAGGAAAGGCGCAAAGCTACACAGAGAAACCCTGTCTAGAAAAACCAAAAAAAAAAAAGCTCCATCATCTCTTAACTCTTACTGACACCTTTACAGGATGGATGGAGGCATCCCCACCTCCAGGGAAAGAGCAGATGTGATGGCTCAGGTACTCCTGGGACATCAATACTTGGACCATCTCTCCAGGCTCAAGCAGGCACCTATACAGGACAGATGGTCTGTCCAGCAACTGGGACTCTCCACCCTCCAGTTTTCCAAATTGTCCCAATGAAGGGCCTGTCTGCTCTTCTGCCTTGCCCATTCATCTTTGTCAGCACAACCAGGGCACCTCTCCATTCCATTCTTACTGGCCATCTCCACTGTTCCCATGGCTAATCCCGTTCATAGGGCCGGTGATAACAACCTATTTTTAATCCTAGCAACTTGCCTTCTCTGCTTCCTCAAGAAACGGATCCCTGAGGCCTCCAGGATGGCAGTTAACAATGGAATGCTGAGCATGAGCCCACTGACTCCCGACTCCCCCTCCCCACATCATCCCATGCCAACAGGAAGTTTGAACCGTTGGAAGCTCCACCTCAGCCCCACCCCCACCCCAAACCCTCTCCCTTTCAGAAAGTTCGACAAGGCCAGGCAGTGGTGGCACATGCCTTTAATCCCAGCACTCAGGAGGCAGAGGCAGGTGGATCTCTGTTAGTTTGAGGCCAGCCTGGTCTACAGAGCGAGTTCCAGGACAGGCCCCAAACCTACAGAGAAAAACCAAAAAAAAAAAAAAAAAAAAGCTCGCCAAGTATTTATTATGTATACAACATTCTGCCTCCATGTATGCCTGCAGGCCAGGAGAGGGCACCAGATCTCATTATAGATGGCTGTGAGCCACCATGTGGTTGCTGGGAATTGAACTCAGGACCTCTGGAAGAACAGCCAGTATTCTTAACCTCAGAGCCATCTCTCCAGCCCAACTACAGGGTATTTAAGCTCTGGTCCATAGACCTACCATGTGATTTCCCCTCTTCCCTTCCCCCAAGATCACCAGGGAATGCTTTGCTCAGATTAAACCCGGTCCTTTACTTTTGATTTGGCTCGATTTGGCTTTGTGTTGATGGAGAAACCTACTACCGGGGTTCAAAATACATATCAAACACTAAGATCAGCATCAGTGCAGTGGCCTCCCAGGACCAGGGGCCACCAGGATGCCTAAGAGGAGGTTAATACACACAAGTCAGAAACACGGCAACCCAAAACTCCCTGTGCCCATCATAAATCAAGCATTACTATTTATAGGCTGTTTTAAATATTACAGAATCCTATTATGAGAAATAAATTGGAAAGATTTCAGAAAATACAGAACACTAGGGCTGGGAGATAGCTCAACAGATAAAACATTTGTGTGCCTGTGAAGACTAGACTGGGATTGCTGGTGTGTGCCACCATCATGCCATGCTATGGAGCCCAGCACCCACATATATGCTGGCCCAGTGTGGAGGCCTGCCCCGGCACCCACATGTATGCTGGCCTGCCTGTACTTCAGCATCTGGGTTGCAGAGATGGGATCCCCCAAGGAAGCTAACTAACTAGACTAGTATAGGTGAACTCTGGGTTCAACTGAGAGACCCTGCCTCAGTGAAGAAGGTGAAGAGTGACCCAGGAGGACACCCAATATCAGCCTCTGGTCTACACACACAGGTGTTCGTTCACACATGCACACAGGAGCACCACACCTGCACACACATCACATACATTACACATGCAAAAACACAAAATACACAACTTCCACTTCCAATAGAAATGGAGTGATACAGAGCCAGGTATGACTGGCACGTGAGGAACATTTTCCGGGGCAGCCCTAGTCAGTGTGCCTTTCCACAGAGGAAAACCACTCTTCCAGCTTCTGGAAACCACTTTCTCATGATGAGTTCTGTTCTCTGAGCACTGAGCCACTGATGCTGATTGCTTAATTTGTAGGAACAACGTGGCTGTAAATTGGTTTTATTTGCTACAGATGTGACTCTGCAGCCATGTTAAGGTTTTATGTATCAGGTTTGTTTAGCTTTCACTTAGATTTCCTTCATTAATTTTGCTTTTGAGACAGAAGCTCCTGTGTCCCAGGCTGACCTTGAACTCACTGAGTAGCTGAGGATGGCCTTGAACTTCTGATCCTCCTGAGAGCTGAGGTTCCAGGCGTGGGCCACCACACCCAGCTTTCTTTCCTGACTTACAGGTATGTGTGGGAGTGCACAGGATGCAGCCAGAAGTCAGCATCGGGTATTTTCCTCGGTCACTCCCCACTTCATGTTGTTTAGATGAGGTCTCTCACAGAACCTGGATCTGCAGCGCAAGCTGCGGGAATCCTGTCTGCTCCCCCAGTGCTGGGATTTAAGTCCTGCCAGGCCAGCTTTTTTACTTGAGTTCTGTGGATCAAAGTCAGGTCCTCACATGTGCACATTAGACACCAACTGAGCCATCTCCCAGTTTCCTTCATTACTCCTAATGAACAGCCCATAATTATCTTAGTTCTTTTATTTCCATATATTAATCTTCCCCCTCTGGAGTCTATTTGATAAACAGCCTTCAAAGTAGGGTGCTAACTTAATTTTCATTAATACTTAGGCACTTGTTCAGCCGTTAATTAATTTTTCTATTGATCTTCTGCTATATCATTCACTAAGTTCCTGGCAACGACCTTGTGATCTTTTTCTGTGCGGGGGATTAGCCCTTGTTCTCAGATATGCTAAGCAAGTGCTGAACACTGAGCTACACTACCAAGTTTTAAAATATTAACGTTTTAATAATACTTAGTATTTTATAACCTACCCTTAGGTTTTAAAATAAGTTATTTGATGGCTATGGTTGCTTCAATTAAATGTATTTCCAATTACTAAGTACAAATACGGCATAATACTATCTTTCAGCTTCTTGACTTACCTTTTTCCAGTGTCAGATCTGACCACACAGTTGGAAGTTTGAGGAGGATTTATGCAGTGGGGCAGGGTTATTTCCACCTGTTGGTAAGCGCACGGAGACAGTCTCCATGCTGCACAGTCTCACCCGCACGGCCTGGCAGGGCAGCAGCTTGACTGGGTTCTTGGAAATGGCTGCGGCTGCTCTCACTGAATATGACTTCTCCACTCCAAACAGGAAACGCTTTCCTCACAGACTCCTGGAAGGGCCCGGGACCCGGGACCACAAATTCTTCCTTCTACCCGCCCCGCATGCCTCATGGTTTGGTCACCAAGAAGTTCAAGGCCACTGCCTTCTCTTTATCCAATCTCTCCAGGCCTCTCTGCTTTCTGTTTTGTTTTGTTTTTGTTTTCTGAGATAGGGTTTCTCTGTGTATCCCTGACTGTCCGAAAACTCCCTCTGTAGACCAGGCTGGCCTCAACCTCACAGATTAAAGGTATGAGCCACCACCACCACCAGGTTCCACTCTTGGCTTTTTAAAAACAGTTTCACTGTGTAGCCTAGGCTGGCTTCAAATCTGCAGCAATTCTCCTGTCTCTGAAGTGCTGGGACTAAGGCATGGACTTATTCCTAAGGCCTAGGCTACTTACACAATCTTTTTCTTTCAATTATTTCATTTTAAAAGGGGACTCAGTGTGTACTAACAGCTTAATGTCTCATCCCCACGAACAAACAGAGTATGAGAACAGTATCATCTCTGTAAATTCACGACTGTAGTGGCTGGGAGAGCACACCTGTTGTGCAGGTGTGAGGAAATAAGGACATGGAGTTAGCATCCCCAGCTCCTGGGTGACAAGTTGGGCATGGCTGAGTGGGCCTGTAACCCAGCACTGTGGGTGTGTCTGAGTGTGCCTATAACCCAGCACTGTGGGTACAGCTGAGTGTGCCTGCAGCCCAGCACTGTGGGTGTGTCTGAGTGTGCCTGCAGCCCGGCACTGCGGGTGTGGCTGAGTGTGCCTGCAGCCCAGCACTGTGGGTGTGTCTGAGTGTGCCTGCAGCCCAGCACTGTGGGTGTGTCTGAGTGTGCCTGCAGCCCAGCACTGTGGGCAGAGACAGGCAGATGATCCTCAGAAACTGCCCGTGAGCCAGCTCAGCCAAGAAGGCAAGCTTCCAGTTCAGTGAGACCTGTCCTAGGTAATAAGGTAGCCAGTTACAGAGGAGGACTCCTGATCTTGTTTGGATCTCTGCACGTGTACACACAGGTCTACACACCCCACACTCTTGCACATGTACCACACATCACTCACACACAATTTAAAATAATAGTAATACACAAATTAAATTTTAGCAAGCCAAAAAGAAAACAAACAAACAAAAACAAGCACCTGCATAGCATTCATGAGGGCCTGGGTTCGATACTCAGCACCACACAGACAAACACAGCCCCGGGGTAGGGGTGGGCTAGGGAAGGTAAGGGGAGAGAGAAAAACAAAAACCACACATTTCAACAGCTAAAGGGAAAGTGATAAAATTCAGCATCTGTTCTGGTTTTTAAAGCTTACAGCATTCAGCTGACTAGGGTTCAGTACCCAGCACCCACATCCAGCAATTTACAATCAACTCTAACTCTAGGCTCTAGGGGATTCCATGTTCAATGCCTTCTTCTCTGACCTTCAAGGGCACCTGCACACACCTGTGCAGATGCACACAAGCACACTCGCACACGCACACACCCCTTCTTATAGCACTGTAATGTCTTCACTGTAATTGACAAGCATGGTTCCTTTGGAATGTCTACAGCCTTGGGCATCTGATCTGTGCAGGGGCACTAGTGACTCAAAGTGGTGACCCCACCCCTCAATCACCACTTGATAATCATTTGTATTATCATTCAGCTAGTTCATCCCCCTTCATCTCCAGCACCTGGCATCTGTTTAGCTTGCCTGTGGTTATCTGACTGGTTTCTTTTTTTTTTTTTTTTTTTTT